AGCTGCCGGGTATTTGGCCACTTGCACTGTAAAAAAAGATATATTACATAATACGAACAAAAAACATAAAAATTTAAGTTTTAAAAAATTAATTTTCCCTCTTTTATTTTGTTGAGGATGTATTAAGGATAAGCTTCTCCCAATGTTCTGACAAGCTTAAGGCTTAAACCAGACAGAGCAGGGTTAAATAAACGTAGATAAACCTTAATTAAAAGATTAAGAAAGGAGTATAATGCTATCCATGTATTCATGCATGGGCGGGACCCTTGAAAGTTCTGTTTGACGATTCATTTGACACATTATTTGAATTTTATTTGAAATTTTGTGGATTTGTCAGTCTTTACTGAGCTTATTTTATGTTATTTATTATTTATTCTACTACTGATAGTTGTATAAAGTAAATCTAGATGGAAATTGTGGCAGAACTTAAATTAACAGTGACACTATCGCGATTTATCGAAAAAGGCTGTAAAATAGTTGGTTGTGTAGCTTGCGGATCTCGGTCAAAAATCGAGTGAAATAATGGAATAACTTTTCGCTAGTAAGTGACTATATAATGTACATACGTGTAGTAAACCTATCATTTTTATGAAATTCACTTAACTAATTATATATTTTTTCTTGCATTTTTGCTTTTATTTACTACTTGTCAAAGATTAGATGTCAAAGAATTTAGATACTTTGACTTACCTGCTTCACTAGCTTTTTTTTGTATTAATAAATAATTATTATAACTTCTATCTATTTTTATTAGAATTATATATTTTAATAGCAATTTTAATAACTACCAACGTCTATTCACAACGTAAAATAAAACATCAAATTATTGAATCTACTCCACGTCTACCCTACATCATAGTTTTACACTTTGTAAATAAAATTAGAATGGCACTGATAAACCGGAATTTAAGCCGGCCATATTTGAGTCACATCGCGGTGGATCTAAAATTTTTAATATGCTCCTTCCTTAATCTTTTTATTCAAAGAGATAACCCAAAAGTATTAAAACTTGCCGTGTTTTAATATTTTTTAGATAAACCGATACAAGGATTCATTGCCGTTTTAGATGATTGCAGTATAACTACCCAGGGTCGTTCAACAAAGTTGAAGGTGTAATATTTTGGCCAACTGCATAACAAAAAATTTAAATGAAGTAAAGGAACCTACGTTGTGGTAAAAATATTTTTATTGTGATTACCTCGGATGCGCCCGACAGAAGCAATATTTTGGGAAATTTGAGGTGAATAGGTTATGTAAATCAACGGTCAAATTTGTAAATAGCCCTACTTATTTTATTAAATGAAATGAAAGGAGTGCGTACTCTGCCTGGAATTCACAAAAGAGTACGGCAGAGAAAACCTATATCACTATTCTAAAGAAACCAACTATGCTGTTCTGAAACTCAATAAAAGAGAAATAATAATAATAATATAAAAACTGTCCTCATACAAGGGTTTGTAGTTTATTACATTCAAATCATGCCACATTTATTACATCCAAAACGGAAGAGGTTTTTTTTTAGTTTAGCAGGTCCCCACCCGCAGGTACTAAGGTCTCTTATCATGAGTCTCTGCAAATTGAAGGTTTGGTGCAAATATTTTTAGATTATGTTTTGTTCTATGAGTTATTCTATTTATTATTTTTGTTTGTTGTTTTTGTGAGCTAAGATATTCGCCCAGTCAGGGTCGATAATTGTTAATAGTTAAAAGTACATTCAACAAGGCAAGGGACGATTTTGAGATACATCAAAAAGTTATAAAAAATACAATTTATCTTCCAACTAAAATAATCGAAAACAACTCCCACGGTCAGAATTTGACTGTTGAGCAGACTCACAAAACAGGCACATACAGGGTGTCCTAGTCTGCGCGTGCATGAGAAATTTCTAGAGAACCACAATATCTAGATTAGAGAGTTTTGCACACATTTGTTTCAAAATCAGATCTGTCAACTCAAAATGTTTTCCATTTGGCGGCATTTCCGGAAATACCGGAAGTTGACAGCAACTTTCTTATTTAAAATGGGTACCCCCATTTTTTAATGCATACTTAAATTCTTCGGAAAATTTTATGAATTTTATGATCAAACACACCGTACCAAACATTAACCGTTTTTGAGATAAAAAAATATTTAAATTTTTTAGAAAAAAAAGCTTGTCACAAAAAATGTTTATAACCTAAACGTCAAATTTAGAGATTAAATCATAGCCACTGTGACAAAAAGCTCTAAACAGAAGACATGTGGCTATATGCTATCTATTTCAAAAGTTGAATTGTTTAATGTCATTAATTTTGGCCGTAGCTGTCATGGAATTAAGCGAACCAAAAATTATCATAAATATTTTTTTTCAAATAGAAACCTACTTTTTTATTTAACTAGTGAAAAGGTTATTTAATTCGATATTTTTTGACGATACAACATGTTTCTATAGCTAAAACAAATCGGTTTTAAGTTATTTAAGATGACAGTTTATTTCCTGCTGTCAGAAAACTAATTATTTTAATATTGTATATTATCAAAGCTGCCGCCTTACCGTATTTTCGCTCTTTAGTGATATCTTTTTTTTTTTATTTGTGGGAAAGAAAATCTTGCATAAGACACCCAGCACTAATAACAGTAAACTATTGTCCTTAGCGCCAGGTATAGTGCCGGATTCTTACCGGCTAAAAAAACCCACACTTCCCTAACGCTGATCATGGTGGAAACCGCTTCCGCCTTACTTCGCCATGGTAGCTGTCTGTTTACTGTCTTCTTATATCATTTTCCTTTTCCTCTAATATTTGTCTTAGTATCCCTGCAGTTAGTTTCCACATTTCCTCTGTCCCAGTGAGATATTTCATCATATTTTCCGCATTGAAAACTGAGCCGGTATGAGTTTTATAATCATTACGATTGTAGTCCCATCTCGTATATCTAAACAGTGTATGTTCTGCGTCATCACTATTTCCACAGTAGTTGCAACTATCTGAGTCCCGTTTCTTTCTTTCCGTTAGATACTTCATAAAGCAACCATGTCCCGATACAGCTTGCGTGACAAAGTAATCACTCTCCGCATGGCCTGGATATCCATTGCCTAATATCAGGAATCAAATTATATGTCCATCTTCCTTTTATTCCTCTCACCCATCTTTCCTGCCACTTGTCGAGTAGGTCCCCTCTTGCGATTTGCTTCTGTACTCCATTGTAAATTTCCTTCCTTTCCTCTACTAATAGGTCTATGGGTGGGACGCCTGCTATTACGCCTACTACCTACTACGTAGAGATTGTTCTGTAGGCACTTGCAATTCTGATGGAAGTAAGTCTTTGGATCCCCGCGAGTTTTTTTGTTCTGCTTTTATTACTCGTTGCGGTGTGCCAGAATGGAGCCGCATAGAGTATTTGATACTTGTAATATTGATCTTTAGTGATATCTGATAGTTGATATTATTAATAATATACCATATGATCAAAAAAGAAAACGGCGCAAAGTTGGCTTGGAAATGATGCAAAGAAATGATGATTGATAACGTACTCATTTTTTAACAATGTGTTGACAATTATATTATTTTACATCACTTGACGTTTAAAGTGATGGGCTATTGGTTAAAATCACTGAAAATATATATTCTTTAAAACTAAATATTAAATAATTTAAACGGTTTATTTTAGATAACAATAAGACCATGTATTATCAAAAAGTAAAGAATTCAAAAACCCTTTTAGTAATGAAATATAAAAGTGGGTTTCCATTTGAAAAAAATGGTTGATGATAATTTTTAAATCGCTCAATTGATTGCCAACTACGGCCAGTATTATATGACATTCGAACAATTTAATTTCTGAAATAGATAGCCACATATCTTTTTTTTTTTGTTACATTGGGTGTGGTAATCACTAATTTTAGCGTTTAGGCTATACACATTTTTTTGACAGGCAGTTTTTTTCGTCCAATTTTTTTTTTCTCATGAACGACTAATGTTAATTATAGAGTGTTAATATCAAAATTCATAAAATTTTACAGAGAATTTAAGTATGTAATAAAAAATGGGGGTACTCATTTAAAATAAGAAAGTCGCTGTGAACTTCCAGTATTTCCGGAAGTGGCGCTATTTGTGAAATTATGTATGTGGCAGTATGTGCAAAAAATCATTGTAGTTCTCTAGAAACTTCTAATGCACGCTCAGCCTGGGACACCCTGTACAGGGTGAGTTTTAGATAAGTGCAAATATTTTCGGGGCTTGTAGATCTCGATAAAAGAAACATATTTTCTCTTTACCGTTTTTTAAAAAAACCCAAAATAACCGAGTTATTTTACTTTGAAAATTGCAAAAAAAATATTTTTTGCTAAAATCTTTTCTGGATTTTCTTTCTTATAAATTTAACGTTTTTTAACTAAAAACTAAAAAAAATTGCAAATTTTTAAAAATAAATTCCAAATTTTCCAATTTCTTTTTCGCGAAAAAACCTTATAATCGTGTTTCTGTGGTCTATATATACTACCCCTTAAATTATTTGCACTTATTGAAGACTCACCCTGTATATCTAAGGATTAATAATTAGGAACTATTAACTTATTTTCGGAAAAAAAAATGTATATTTCAGTAAATAATACACATTACAAAAAGTAAACTTATAACTAAACACACTGTGTGATTATTTACAATAACGTTTTAACAGGAAAAATACAATAATTAAAAATTTATATTTTCTAGAATTTTCAAATAAAATTAGTTATAGAATTATTATAGTATACTTGAACATTGTTAAAGTTGTGCATTGTTGAGATATTTGTTGAAACATTTATGTATAATTCTATAAGTATTTCTATTTTTGATTTGTTTTTAAAAGTTTTTACATTTATATTTTGACACGTGAAAAAAAAATAGAACGTCACTGATAAACCCGCATTCAACTCAGCCGAATTAACAGTCTTCCTTCGTGGTCTCACAAATTTTGTTTATTACCACCTGCCTTAGTCTTAGAAAAAAAATCATATTGAGGCGTATCTTTTAACAACTCACTGCCGTACTATCGGTTAATTCTGATAAAACGTTTTTTATGTGAAAAATCTTCGTTAATCGCCTTTCTCTCCGCTCTAAGTAAACTGGGCTGGAAGGGGCCGTCTTTTTCCATGTCCGTTCAACCCTACTCGTGTTGAACTCAACCTCCAAGTCCAATAGGTCAAGATCCGAACTCTTATTCTTCGAAATTCCTGCTACACTAAGTAGGGTTTCAGCTGCTTCCTTAGTTCTTATTGCTTCGTTGTCATCAAAGTCAGTTATGCGACACACTTGAATCTTCCGATTCCTCAATTGTTTGACATCGAGCACGCGTTTGACCTTAACACACTTTCGCTGAATGCTGTTGCGTGTCAATTTAGGGGAATCATCCTTCTTTTTCTTCGGGCTGAAGGGAACGTCGTTTTCCTCGTCCAAAACATTTTCAACCTTGCTCATTTTGAAACGAGACTCGAAGTCCAAAAGGTCTGGGACCGGTCTCTTATTGGCAGAATTCCTTCGTCATCATCCAAGTCGATTTTGCGGCACACTCTCCGACTCTTTTCTGCGTCGCTTTTCAAGGCCTCATCTTCATTATCACCAATGCCGGCTACATTAAATGAGTAATCTTGACTAGAAGAAGTGGTGCAAACCGGATATTCCTGCTTGCCGTTTACTCTGGTCGAATATTTTAAGCTCAGCATGGTCCGTGCCGCATCAAGAGTCTCCAAAAAATTGTGTTGCTGCTTGATTTTCACTCTATAGGCGTTGTAATCCATATCCGACGTAGCTGCTAACTTCTGGTTTGGAATCGGAGACATTTCGGTATGGGTTAATTTTGGGTTCCTGTAAACCACCGGGGTTTTGTCGCTGCTCTGATGTTTGGCTGCCGTCGAACAAAGATACTTTTAAGTGTCGAACAAGTATGAAAAGGCGAACTATTAAACGAGAAATTAAACCGGCACTCAAATAATTTCACTCGAATACTGCTACTATCCACTCACAGGACAAACCTCAAATGATCGTTTAGTGAATCTAAGTGAAGCCAGGTAAACGCCCACCCCTCCCCACCCCTATTTCCATATCGTTTTATGACATCTACATTAATCCTTCGCTAATATAACACTTACTCTTCTTATAATATCTGCTTTCAAATGCCTATTGACTCTTAAAGTGATACGATAATATTATTCATAAGCAAGTATTAAATGTTGACAAAAATAGTATGAATGGCTTACTAAGTAATTGCCTTTAATTTAAAATTTCTTATATCATAATCTAATTTAGGCCTACATTCCTTATTGCTGGTTTTTAGAGTTAAAGTTTTATCTCAAATTAATTTAGTCCGTTCAATAAAGTTCATTCTTCAATATTACTTTTTTTTCTTTTGATTTTACAGTTTTTATCTGTTTTTTAAGTTTGCTACCTGCTTTTGTTTCATATTAATAAATAGTTTTGTAACATTTTGAATATTACAAGATTCAAAATGTTTGTCCATTACAAATCATTCTACTCAAAACGGTGTTTCTCAAGAGTGGCTTGACTCCTATAACTTTTTTATTTATTTTTTTCAGATAAAAAAAAGGGGTTTGGTATGTTAGTATAAGACATAAATCAGGATTGATTGAAGTATTCAATAATAATTCTCTACGGTTACTCTCTGTTTCACCGGAAATGACTACAACTTTTGATTTTTAAATGGTACCCTCGGTATTTTTTTTACTTTATTCGATAGAAAAGGACACTCCGAATAGAACGACATAAGAAAAGTCGTATTTTAAATTTAAATTTCGAGTGCCATGGCTGTGAAAACACTAACTTTTAATCAAGGAGCCTTGGAAAAATAGATTTCATTGTCTAATGTTTTAGTGTCTTGTTCTGGTCGGTTTAAAGATGCTCAAATCGTAGTTTTAATCATATTTCAATTTTTATAAATGGAACGAGAGTGGCTTGTTAGCATATTTGGAAAAATATTTTTTTAAATAATAATTTGATAACACACACTCGGTATTTCGAGTCAAATTGTCGTTATGAACCGCATGTTACAATTTCAAATAAACCATATCCGAAAGTGTCAAAAGTTGACATATAATATGTCATTTTATACAGATTGTGATTTTCTATCGAATAAAGTAAAATAATACCGAAGGTACCATTTAAAAATAACAAGTTGTAGTCATTTTACTATCACACTACTGTCACATACTATCATACCAAATTTCACTTTTTATCTAAAAAAATTAAAAAAAGTTATAGGGATGAGCCACTTTTGAAACGCACGAAGTATAGTTATAATTAACTCATAAACTATAAATATAGCTATAATTAACTCAAAAATAATATTAGGAAAATTTAGTTAATTAGTGATTCGAATGAAATTTTGAGGGAAAGAGTTACTATAAGTGCTACATATTTTAATGTTAAAAAAGTTTCGATAAATTCATCAGGGACGTGCATATGGGTCATCACTGGGATATTTTTCAAACAAAAAACATATGCGCCATTGACTTTCCTTTGACATCAAAATTGTGTAGGCCGTTTAATGTCAATTAAGAGTTATTCCTTGATATTTTGTCGAATTTGGCCTCCTCGATGAGATAAACCTAATTTAATTAATCACAATTAATTAAATTAAAATAAAAATAAAATTAATCAATTATATATTTTACGTAATTTATTATTAAATATTATTGCTATTAGTTATTATTACTATTAGTTCCTCCTACAGCATCTTCAAATAAAAAAATAATGGTATTTAAGGTAATTACAAAAAGCCTAATTTTGAAAAGTTTTAACATCCTGTAACTCTGAAATCCACCCAGTAAAAACGGTCTCTCAGCTTGCTCAAGGTCTTGTTTACCCCAAGATGGGCTCCAGTTTTACCACCGTGAATTTCTTCCAGTACCTGGGTAACTTTCTTCCTTGGTACCAGTAACTGAGTTGTTACTGTCCTGCCATCCGCACTTTCCCACGTGCGCTTTAACAATCCATTCTCAATCACCAGTGAATTCCACTGAGCCCAGAGAGCTTTGAAAACCAGCCCTCTGTCCGCAATATCCTGCCACGGTGATCTCTCGCTGTTACCTTCCTTGAGCCATAGTATTGCTCCGATATCTGGATCTTCCATTTGGTCTTTCCTCAACTCCAAGTTTAAAACTCCTTATCATAACAGTGCCTTCACGTTGTTCCGTTTTACAGCAGTGCTGTTCGTCAGTTCTCAGTTTAAAATTCTTTACTCTGATAGTGCGTTCGCGATGTTGCATTTTCTCGCCCAAGGTAGCTCGTCGTCGATCCGGTTCGTTGTCGATAATTTGTACCCGTCCTACACGGCACTCAGAGGTTTTCTCCATTTTCCCGAACACAGTCTTCTTGGCATCACCAGGTATCATCACAATTTCCGCTGATCTTGCTTCCATATTTCCTGGTCTCTTCTCTTTAGATACAGAAAATTCCTCATTTCCGATTGTCAGGATGTTTCTATGGTGATCGAACGAAAAACCATGTTGACTGATCACATCCATACCCACGATAAAATCATCTTCAATGTCTGCCACTAAAACGCTATGCCGAAACTTCAGATTCCCTAACTCCAGTTCCATGAAAGCCTCTCCCCGTACAACGGCCATTTCCCCCGTAACTGTACGTAAATACACTCTTTTTCTAAGAGGCATCATCTTCAATCCTTGCACTGAGTTAGTCCGCACCAACGATACCATAGCGCCTGTATCCACAGTCATTCAAATTCTTCTACCATTGACCTTCCCGTTGATCACCAAACTGTCAGCGGTTTTTCCTAAACTCCTAATGGAAAACATCCTAGGGTCTCTGTTTTTTTCAGCCAATACTCGCCCGTTGGTATTAATTTCCTGGTGCCTATGTTCTCTGAAGGGTAAACGGAATCGCATTTCAACGCGGCAATCCCGTTTGATGTGGCCATTCCTGCCACATCTATAGCAACTTATGTCCTGGGATCTTCCGATATGCCGATGTTCTCTTAATGATGAACGGAATGGCATTTGGATGCGACAATCCAGTTGGATATGGCCATTCCTGCCACATCTATAGCACATAATATCCTGGGATCTTCTGTGATTCTCTGTCTGGGTGTTGTTGACTCTCTTGTTCACTAGTAACTCACATAGTTTATTAAACATCTCCTCCAAACGTATGTGAGAACTCTTTGGCTGTTCCTCAACCGTTACCGAGCCTATCTTCGGTTTAGGAATGGCGCTAAATGCAGCTTCTATTTCCAGCGCCCTGACGAGTACTTTGCTGCTGGTAGAAAATCAGAATATTTGCAGCGCCCTCTGTAATTCGTTGTCCCTCAGTCCGCTGATAAAGCACTGAGCAGCGAGTTCCTCCCTAAATCTGTCCGGTGCTTCTGGGTATGCTAGATGTACCAGCCGACGTAAGTCTGCTTCAAATTCCTGCAGACTCTCCGGACCTCTGCATGCGTGTCTTGATCTGGGCCTGGTAAAGTTGACGTCGATGTTGGTCGCCATATCTTCGGTCCAATACAGCGACCAGAGTCCCATACTCCTGCTGTTGGGCTGCAGGAATAGTTTGTAGCAGTTCGTGGACAGGGCCACGCAGCGCGATGACAAGTGCCGCTGCTTTCTCCTGGTCAGTCCATCCGTTGGCAGCGGCGGCTGCTTCAAACTGGCGGTGGTACATAGTCCAGGTGGTTTGTCCATCGTAGGTTGGGGCCTTGAGGTTCGCAGTTCCTTGAACGCCAGGTGTCCTTACTTCTACCTTAGTCTTCTGTAGGTCCATCTCTAATTTTTCCATTTTCTGCTGAAGGCGTTCCTCCAGATTTCTACGGCTTCTTGGAAGTGATTCTGCTGTTCCTGGCAACGTACTTCCAACATTGCTTGTTGCTTTTTTTCCATGTCTCCGAAGCTTTTCTGAAGTCGAATTTCCTGATTTTCTAATATTTTCTGAAGCCGGTCCTGTTCTTCTTGTTTATCATGCTGTCGTTGAGCTTTCAAATCTTCGAGAAATTTCTCAAGCCGGTCCTGTTCTTCTTGGTTGTCTTGTTGTCGTTGAATTTTTAAATCTTCGAAAATGGTGTCTTGATTTTCTAGAATTTTCAGTAGGCGATCCTGTTCTTCTGCTTTTTCTCTTCTCATATTCTCCATAAAGCCTTCTAATAACTTGCTTACTTCCTCCATTTTCTTCGCTTGCTCCCTTGTACCAACCATAAAAATACTCAAATTCGGTCTAAAAATCTTCCAATTCACTTAATTTCTTCTTAAAATCCTCTTGAATCGCACTTCCGACACCAATTGTTACGGATTCCGTGGGTCCACTATTTAAACTCACGATAAAATACTTAACGAATTTATTTGTCTCACTCTATACACACAACTTATACTATTTACAACACAATTTATGCAACTACTATTACTCTAACGGTATTTCGCGGTATTATCAAACTTCAGACTTCAGACTATCTTCAG